ATATTACACCTCTAAATATGGCAAACTAGGGGATGATCCGTTTTCACGCACTTTCTGATAACCGATTTTAATAAAACTTGGCAAATGGTTGTAACTCCACGAACTTTTGAGGTCGGTTTTTTAGAACTCTGTACTGACATTATTTTATGTCACATAACTAGTAGACGTGCCATCGAATTGATGAGCAGAATACCAAAAATTACAATGGGAGTTCAATAGTAACTCTTTGGCTAGTCATTAACAAGTCACTACTCTTAACTTTTAGCAGAATACCAAACGTACAAAATTGTGGCACTGATATTATCAACACACAACTGAGATGATTTAAAATTAGCAGACTTAGGGCCCTGATCACACTACATAATGCACGTATGCAGCTCACAAGCCTTTCGCAAACTTGTGCACATCCTTACTATTTTAATACTCTTACCAGATGCGGGTGACAGTTTCTCGTGCTTATAATCGTGCTGGCAGTTGCGTATGTTTTGCTGTTCAGGGCACACTGACTTGTCGGTGCTGACCACAGAATGGCTGCAACGTCTAGTGTCTTCCTCTATTTGCGCTCCGCATGGCCAAAGGGTGCTATAGAAAAAGGACAAGGCAAAATTTAGATAGAACACAATGATATTAAAACATATTAAAACGATAAAATTATAGGACTGGTGTTGTCTCAAAACTTGAATTTCTATGTTTTATTGATTAAAAAGACTATAAAAACGTCAGTGTAACTGGGATATGGGCGAAAATGACCTTCGTTTGAAAGCCATTTTGTACAAAAAGTTCTCGCATGACTCTTAAAGTTAGATTTTTTTAGATATAAATTGTTTTTTTATCTCATAGAAAGCTTTGTGATAAACAGAAGGTTAACCCGGCGGCGCGGCGCCAATGACGTTGGGTCATGTTGACCCGAGGCGAATTTCAACGAGCATATTTTTACTTTAGGCCGATCGCACGATAAATAATCAAAATAAAAAAATAATAAATAGTCATCGCTGGCGTGGTGTTTTTGTGACTGACATTTATTGGTGTATTTAGAGTTTGTTGTTAGACATAATATATCCATCCAATGTGTCCACCGAAAAATGATAAGATGACATCTTATACATGTAATATATGCCAGATTTACATATGCCCGGATTCCGTACTGCTATAATTGCAGCAGTTCCCTGTCTCTGATTGAGGAAGTAGAATACTCATTTGTCGTAATAAGTTTGAGTAGTTTGAGTTTCTAGAGTAACTTTTAGTATATTAAAGCATTAGTTCCTATTATTATTCAGAATGCCAAACATAAAAGATATATCAAAGTTATGTTATCAGAATGGACTTTACATGTGTTATTGAGAATACCAATAAAACATTCATTTAATTTTGTACAATATATTGGTATTATTTTTATTTTACTGTATGTCCCAAAAATCCTTTTTTAATATGTATTTATTAAAATTTAGACAAATACTTTAATTTCTGAAAATTTATAGATGAAATTCGGGTCGCGATGACCTGGTGTCAATGTAATTATTTTCACATCATTTGCACCGTGAAAATTTTTTAAGCTATAACAAATTGATCTACTTATCTAATTTTAGTGGCCAATTAATGCTCATATTAGGTTCTTGAAGCACATACTGAATCTCGTATGTGACTTCTATGTAATTTATGAAATTTACACGTCTTCAATTCTACAATGAATTGCGCGCACGACGACCTAGGCCACACAACGCAAGTGCACCGCGAGATTATGCGAATGCGTGCGTAAGTACACGGCGCGCGGCGGGTGTTCACAGATAGAAGCGGCACTGCTACGTGTCAAGTAAGTTACCATACTTGTCTTATTATACTATGCAATAAGCGTGTAAACAGCAGTTATTAAATAACTTTTTAATGGTGTACCGGATTCTGAGGGAGAAATTATTTTCACTTGTAAATCGACTGGCTCGGAATTGGGACGTATGTCACTTTTGCAATTTCGAACCGTCTACCGTTTTGTTTTTGCTTCGAAAGCATTCATTTTCATTTTCCGGCCAATCTCGATAGCGGGCGAGGTCAGTTCGATATAAAGCGCTCGTTTATTTTGCTTAGGTGTTCCGGTTCGTAATAACAGTTATGCTTCTATTTATAACGAGTGTAAAGGAATAGGCGCTTTTAGAAATTGAATAAGCAATTTACGCAAAAAAAGTACCTGCTAATGAAACCAGATTTGTCCCGTATATTCTAAGCGGAAATTACGCGGTTGATTATGGTTATAAGCATTTTAAATACGATTTTAAATATTAATATTACGCTGGCGTGGATTTCTGGAAACAATCTCCTGTCCGTAATTTACTAGATTTTTTTCTTTAGCTAATTGATTATTAATTGATGATTATCGGAACAATTTCGGCAATTTTGATTACACATAGTCACGCTCTAAAATATCCAAACTGTCACGATTTTTAGTAGTAGTAGCAGAGCTCTTTGTGAAAGAGTTCGTCCAGATACGCATTGTGCCACCTCACCTACTTCTATGTGAGCATCACTGTGTTTCGGTTTTGAAGAGTAAGGGTGTTGGTGAAATTACACGTACATGGTTCTTTTCAACTTAAGTTAAGCGGGCGGAGCGTCAGTGTCCCTCAGATCTTTGCAATTTAAAACTCTAAGTGGCACTGCAATTGTTATGGATAGGCGTGTCGCTTCCCAACACGCGTACGACTTGTTCGTTCTATCATTTGTAACTTAACACATTCGCGTGAGGCACATACTATGACGCCTTAAACATTTGTAAGTGATGTAGAACAACGTACTGTTACATCGTTTAGTTTCTTTTATTTCATGGAAGAACGTAATAGAACGCTATTAGGCTATACAAAATCTTTATAGTGACGTCATTGCTCTACAACAGTCCCAATATTGAATCTCTAGCGACACAGTACCGAAATTTCACAGGGTAAGTAAGCACTACTCACACATACCAATGATTATATGGATACACGCGCTACGAAAGGCAGGCTTCTTTTGTATGCGACGTTTATTGACGTCAGTATCGCTATTTCGATGCCTTACTTTCTCAAACTCGTATCTTATAAAGAGTGTATTCAGGAGATGGCAAAACTTTCTATTTTTAAAATTTTTATCAAGGGGGTTAATTAGGATGCATAAATTTAAGAATAGGTAAAAGCCAGTGTGTGAATATGAAGGAAATGTGATGTGAAATCAGCCTGCAAAATTTGAATACACAATCCATGTTTAGCATTTCAGTAACTTTGTGCTTTGAGATACGAGTTTGAGAAAAGAAGGCGACGATTTGTTCCATTTATTTAATAGCCTGTAGTATAAACGTTTATAACGTTTGCATTAATGTATGAGAAAAATATTTGCCACAGCGCATCAATCGGCAAAAGCACGAAGCTCGCGCGAATTAGATAACAATTACGATGTTAAAATTGAAATGTGTACTTCAGATAGTTTATGTACATCTACGAGCAGCTGTAACTTAGCGTTTATAAGAATATACATGGATATCTATATTATACACTTTTATTCAATGGTCAACAGCAGCAAGTCACGCAAAGTCACGGTAACTGGACGGAATTGCATTGCTTTAATAATTTTCCTCTACACTCACGATTTTTGGATTAAGCTGAGTGGGATCTAACGCAATTCGCTGGAATCCGAACTGTGTGTTTTATTTCTGCAATTTCTACTCGAGAGAATAACCCGCTTATACATACTCGTTACATAAGTTAAAATCTTATTACAGGTTTTCTCTCGATAATTTGTTATATTTTCGAGGAAAATATTTTATGTAATATCGTTATTAATGATATAATTACTATACGATTTTTTTATATTAAGTAGCATACAGCCCGCCTGATCGAAAGCGGTCACCGTCGCCTATGAACGCTTGCAACACCAGAGGCGTCACGGGCGCGTTGCAAACTCTTCTTCAAAAGCGGTTTGAGAAGAGTCCTATCCATCTCAAACCGCTTTTGAAGGATTTCATGGTGTATTACTTTTTCATGCTGTATTTCATTGCTGTATGTAACCCCGACAGGGAACTCCCATTCCACAACCTAATTATTATATGTGGGAGGAAGCTCCTCTGAAAACGAGATTGACTCGGTTCCAAAGTGTAGGGATGGACTGGATGCCGGTGGCGAGCGGTGCAGTGATAGACTGTTGCTGTTGGCATCATGTCAAACAGTTCTTCAGAACATTGAATAGAAGGTACCACCCCTCTCCTCTCCTGACTGACTCTTGTATATGATTAAACTTAAACAAACCAGTGTTACTTTTATATAAGTGTCTTTATTAATTGTGTTATATTCGTACTTACCAAAAAAGCCTTGGTAGCCTAATAGGTTGACCTACCACCTTTCCAGCAAAGGTCGCGGGTTAACATCCGGGATCGTACGTCCAGTTTTTCGAAATTTATGTGTGAAAATTAATTCGAAATTCACCATGAGTGTCTCAAGAAGAAAAAGTTGAAGAAGGTTCTCGGTCCTCGAAAACCGTGTGAAATTCCCAACTCGCATTGGGGCAGAGTAGCAGACAAGGCCTAAACCCTCACCAGGGAGGAGACTCATGTCCAGCAGTGGAACGTATAAATGGGTTGATTATGATTCGTATTTAGTACCATTTATTGCGCTATCAATTATGTATTATCTTTTTTGTCATATAACCCGGAGGTTACCTGGGGAAAAGAATGCTATTTAGCAATATCTGCTTGTATCTGTTACTTATATATTAAAGTATATTTGTATTGTATTGTTTTGTGCTCATTACAGGACAAAAAAAGTTTAATTTCCAATGTGTGGCAACCGAAAAAACCTAAGGTTCAATTTTCATGCGAATTTTTGTAACGAAATTGCACATAGTATAATGAAACATATGTCAATTGTGTAACGTACAAATTGGATATTAAATGGTAGCAGCGGGAATGTCCGAGATAGCACGACAATGCTCCAGAAGACGCGGGACCCGTTTTTAGGCTCGTATTTGAACATTACACAAATGACTTGGGCTATGGTTTCAAAAAAATAGCTTCCATTCTATTCTGTAGTAAAGTGAATTAAGTAGAACACGTTGCAGAATACATTTTCGATTTAGCGTAGCTCGTGTGGGTGCAGCGCGTAGCTAGGAGCGAGTGCAACGCGTAGAGCGTAGCACGCGTGACGTGTTGTTATGGTGACGTCACCAAACCTGACGCGGGATAGCACCATTTCATCGCTTGCCGCAGTCTAGCGTTAGTTGTGCAATACGCAACGGACGGTGAGTGTGCCGCTCCGCGACAGCTCCGGTCTGAATAATAGGCAGGGCGCTGTATACGCACCTGGGGCAATCCACCCAAGGCGCTAGCCTTTTGGGTATCGGATGAAGTGTGATTAAACGGGCTGATCTGGGATCAGGACCTGACTGATAAGGTCTTTGTACAGGCTTGTTTGCACAAGTTATGCTGCCCTTCTCGTATATCCAAGAGGTTTATAAGGAGGAGCACTATAAAAAAAAACTAATGTAGAAAGATATGGGATTATTCGTTCGCCGTTCGGTGCCACTAATCACAACCGGTCCATCTCATGCTACAGAGGTACAGAGTTCGAGTCTCGAATCAATCCGACACTACACGAAATATTTAGCTCGATAAAAATTGTTTTTCCTCTTACTTGGGCCGCCCACTGGGATGAAACAGCAGGTATGAAACCGTAAGAGAGACAACTTACAATTTAACACTGTAACCAATCATGAATACACATACGGCGATATGAAGTGTAGTGTTGAAGTGAAGTGTCAGTGGTGCAGACCTGTACCTAGAATGGAATTCGCAACCCGCGTCTAGTCAGAGAACCGTTCTCTCAAATAATAATAATCTTACAACCACGCCAAATACCTGGTCTCAAACTAGGGAATTCTCTATACTATGAATATCAGAGAAACGGTATTCACTCCGGAGTTCTGTGAACACCGAAACTAGAACCAATTTAGAAATATTCATTTCTTAAACTGTTCCTACCGGAAATTAAAAAAAAAAGCAAATTGTGGAACGTGAAACATGTTAGTGTAGATTTACCTTCTCCTAGCTAGTAGTACTAACACCAAAGCTGCAACAGCCAAGATAGCCAATGCTGCAAACGCCAGTGACACAGCCCCGAGCACCCGTTCTGCGTCAGCGGCCACTGTACCCCCTGCTGTGACCACGGGTACGCCCTCAGATTGGAAGGTCATTGGTCGGCGGAGACGTTCTATGTGGAGCAGGAAGATTTATAAAGTTTAAAATAGCATATAATAAATTAAATTGTAACAATTTTCTTTCTCTTCAGATTGAGTTATACTTTATACATATATTTGTGCAAGTATTTTTACGCAAAATGGGCTATACAATGTCGACTCGCGGAAACTAACTAATTACAGCGTACCATACCAGTGTATTATACAAAAAAGTAAAAAAAAAAGACATTAACTACAAACTAGGATGAGAATACAGAGATACTTTTCCTAACCTCCAGAGTGTGTGGTTGTGGCTGCATAAATAATTGCCTGATGTCTCGATGAGTCAGTAGCAGTCCATAGTCGAAGACCGTACCACGCGCCAGCTGTTAGACCGCCGATCACCACCTGTGTTGACGTTTCATTGCTTACTTTGATTATGAAAATTGTACTGTATTTCCCCATTCACAAATTTGGCTATAAACTTCAAAATCGTTATTTAAAAACTGAACCAGCACTGACGGGGGTAGCTAATGTAAAATAAGGTTTAAGGTATGTGGGTACCTCACGTTGATGATGCAAAGAAGTTAAATCAGCGTCTCTCCACGACGCAGCACCTCCAGTATCAACTCGACGCCATTGCACTCTCATAAGACGAGCGCCGCACCGAACTGCTCGGCGAGCATCTACCGCTAGAGCACTGCTGTTACTCCACACAGCCGCTTCAGCGCCTTCTTCGCGGCCTTCTTCTGAATCCCCTCCACCTTCCCACACTAGCACTAACGTCCAAGAAGATTATAGAAATAGAAATAGAAATAGAAATAGAAACCATTCATTGTAACGCTACATTATAGAAAAAACACAAAATCAAAGACTAATATAACTAGAACAGAAATAACACAAAGAACAGCGTAAAAACATTTCAACAACAAGTTACATAATACTATACCGACATGTGTGCGGCTGTGGCGTGTACAAAAGGATCCCATTCAGCTAAAGTCACAACCAAGGCTAGATTGTGACGCTGGTTTTCAATGGGCCCTAGCCGAGTGAGTGAGAGTGACGGACGTATACGTCCCGAAACAGAAAATAAAATAAAATAAACTATGTAAATACTTATATCATGAGTGTGTATAGTGTGTACTCTTATATCGAATAAATGCTTACATAATCTTTGCAATATATACATACAGGTACAAGAGTGTGTAGTGTGAAAACAAATTAATAAAATATTTAATACATATTTAAATACATTACTTCAAATATATTAAACAAGTTTATCTATTTTCGTAAACTAAAAGTTCTTTGACTTCAACATTAAACAACTATTGTTCTTACGCAGTTACTATTTCGAATAATGCTATGTGAATTAACATGTGTAAATGTTTATGATTATTAAGTTAAATAAAAATATACAATTCAAATGACGTATCACTGTTATAAATATCATTCCTTTATCATATTTTATTAGAAGTAATTATATTGACTCTAAAAAAAATAAAAATAAAAGATATAGGAGCGCAAGATCCGCCGTATTTGACACTAGTAATAAGATGTTGTGAACTTGTGATCAAGCAGGAAATATTAACATAGATGTTTTTATTGTGCTTTGAAGTGTAATTTACTAATTTATTAACAAAACTACTAGTCATAACCTGTTTTGTTCATGAATCTATTAGCTGCACGGGCGCTGAACGAGTTACGGGAGAAGCGCGGGGAGGGGTCCCTAGCTAACACAATATAACAAGACGCGACCACAAATTAGAAATATATAGTAGGACGCGACTCGCTCATTTGAAGGCCTAATCTAATTATATATATAAGTAATAGTTACTTATTTCTTTCAGTAATATCAATAATCTAATTACAAGGCCGACAGTGGAAGTTCCATTGATCGAATTCTATACTTTAGAATACATATAATCTATTGCGGGATGTCTAAATATTACGCCATCTACTGAACGGTTCAACAGTTTAATGTTACCTGGTGGTTTCGTCCTAATGAGCAAAGGTACAGATGACGGAGATGGTCCAGCTCTTGAATGAGCTACCGCTCTCACAGAGTACGTTGCTCCACATGACAAAGCTCTTAATATCACGCTTGCTGCTTCGCCACCTGCTTCCAATCTACGTTCTTCGTCCACTCGAGAAGGACCAAGTTCAATCCCCTCACCAGTATCGTCGCGGATGCGGACCCACCGGATTGTGTAACCTTATAATAAACAAAAGTAAGAATCTGAGTATTAAAGACTAGGTAGTAAATAATATAATATATCTAATATACTATATAATATAATATATAAGATAATGCAAGGGTCAGTGGAGAAGAAATCCAGTCTTGTCGAGAGCCCATGGTTAGTCGTTCGAATTTGACACTTAAGGCAGTTTCCGATTGGGGCAATGCCAATTTTGTCAAATTTAATGTTACCAAAACGCAGGCGTGTCTTTTCGTCACTAAACGGAGTCCCTTTCACCTGACTCTGACTTTTCGTGATATATCCATACCGATAGCCGACCGTCTTCACCTACTTGAAATGGACCTGTCGTCCAATCTGAACTTCGGCAGTTACATTGAATCCATGGCCAAAAATGGAGCCAAGAAACTTGGCATCCTTTTCAAGGTGAGACGCTACTTCTCTGTCCTGGACAATAGCTTCAGCTGTACCAAGCACTAGTCCGCATTTATGGGATGGCTCTGCTAAATATCAACTGGCCACCTTGGATTCAATAGACAAAAAAGCGTGCTAAGAGGCTTATAGGTGACTCGGAACTAGTAGAGGCGAAGCTGCAGAGCCTTGAACACCGACGTAGAGTTGCCAGCTTATCGGTATTCTACAGAATATATCACGGATAGTGTGCGATGGAATTCCATAATTTAATTCCGCCTTCCCCTTTCCATCATCCGGAGACTAGACGTGGGCGGGGGTTCCACCCCTATGTTGTGGATATTCTCCGGATTCGCACGAAGCGTTTCGCTTTCACATTTGTATGGCGAGCGGCTATGGAGTGTAATTCCCTACTTGCAAACTTATTCCCCGAACGCTATAACTTGGACCTTTTCAAGGCGAGAGTGAATATGCATTATTTAGGTGTGCATGCTACATCCTCGACCTCATCGTCACCTTCCATCAGATTAGATGGAGGTCAAATGCGCACTTATTTTTATTAAAAAAAAAAATTTGATGAAAAATTCAAAGCTCAGTCATTGTAAATGTGATATGATACTTGCCATGTGGAGGTGCGGCGGGATGATGCGTCGTTCGCCAAACAAGACGGGCTTCTTTATGGGACGCATGGTCTAAATTTAAAGTCGGAGCGGATGGTGGACTTGCGCATTCTACACGATACGTAACTTCTTCAGAGCCGAATGCATTGCGAGCAGAGCACGTGTAATTGCCACTTGTTGCTGCATCCACTTCTGTTCAATCACAAAATAAAAAGATTATCATCTGTGATAAAATGTGGAACAGCAATATTCACATTGGAAATTACCATGTATGGCTAAATGTCCATAAGTAGTAAGATGTGTACGAGGGTCGTGCGTGACTGGTCGATCTTCTCTCAACCATCTTGCTCTTGGTACTGGTTCACCTCTCCAGGCACAGGCCAAACGAAGCGAATGTCCACATTGTACTCGTGCCCATACTCCGAATGAGAGAAGTTTTGCTCCAGCTATAGAAACAGAAATATACAGAATGCAACTTACGTAGTTTTCAAGAATAGTGAAAGTTTAATCTGATCATTAGAACTGTTTACCCCTCGAAGTAGTAGTAGCAGGTAATGGAGCCGATGGTTCACCTTCTCCAGCAACAGAGTGAGCGGCTACCCACGCTTCATAAGTAGCTCCTTCAGCTAAAGACCTTAGCTCTGTTGAACCTCCAAGGCCAACTAAGGGGTCAATTTCCTCAGCTTGTACTGTTGTCGTTTGTGGTGGCCTTTCTCTAAAAATTAGAAACTATATGACCATTGCTTAGTCCGAGAATAAAGTAACTAACCAAACGGACATTAATTCTTACCTGCCAAGTTCGCGGTAGAAAACGGTGTAATATAAAATTGGTCCGTTGGGTCGACTTGGTGGTAGCCAACTCACAGCTAAAGATGTCACTGATGTTGCAACCACTTTTACCGCTGCCGGTGCTCCGGGTGCTGGAAGAAATAAAATTTCATAAGATTATTTTGAGAGTAGCAATTGTACAACTATGTAGCAACATTAGTAGAAATAAGAAAAGGTAATTTTGTTTTTGACATGGTATCATTCTGTTCCTGTCCTGTGAGTAAAGTGAAATAAAGAAAAGTGATTACTTTTAAATTTGTATTTTATTATGGGGAAATACATCAAAATAAATAACAGTGGTAGCAGACCGTAGTTTTGAGGTTAGTGGTCTACAGCAGCAAATCATACAGTTTGGACTGTGAGGCGGTTTAGTATTTGTTGCATCGTGGCGAGTTTCATACTATGAATAATGGCGGAATACAAATATAACATAAAACAATTTGATGGCTGTGGATTTTCAACGTGGTTGTTCAGATTGAAAAGTATATTGAGAGATAATGAATGTGTAGAAGCCGTAACATTGGCATCATTCGCCAGCAAAGACTCAAAAAGTTAGAAGCGAGGGCTCAGAGCATTGTGGTTATTAGCGTTGCTGAAACGCATTTGAAATATATTAAAATTGAAAATACAGCATATCTAATGGTGAAAAACTTAGAAAACAACTTTGTCAAGAAAAGTACACAAGGAAAATTATTTTTAAGAAGATAATTGAGTGAGATGAAATACAATGATAAAATACCCATGATTAAATTGATAAATTAGGTGGAGGAAACATTCACGGAATTAAGAGACGCGGGTTCTATACTCTCAGAAGAAGAAAAAGTTAATTATTTATTGTTATCAATGCCAAAATCCTACGAGATAGACCTCTACCTACGTTGTTACCTAACAACTTTGGAAACGGTTCAAAACTTAGAGCTTGATTTTGCAAAGGAGCGTTTACTAGGAGAGGAGGAAAAGAGAAACAAGATGGTAAAGAAAGAGGAATATGTGGATACTGCATTTCTGTGCTATAATTGTGGCCTCTCGGGATATAAAAAATTTCAATGTAGAAGACAGTATGTAAATCAAGGATAAGGACAAAGAAATGCAGATCAAAGACAGAGTAACTTTCAAGACAGAGCATCAGGAAATTCATACAACACAGGCCGAGGATATTCAAGAGGATCTAAAAGAGGACAAGGACGTGCTAGAGGATTCCACGTTGTACGAGGTAACACTAGAGGATATCAAGAAGAACAAAATAGAAGAGGATATGATGGTCAGGGACAGTCTTATAGTGCGGCAATATAGGATATGGTGGAGTGGCATTTAATGTAGACACACAAAGTGCATACAGTGTAAATAGTAAATTTACAGAATTTATAATTGACTCGGGGTATTCCGATCATTTAACGAATAACAAAGACTTATTTGTCACCTATATTGAACTGAAACATTCAAAGGTACTAGCGGCAGCAAAAAATGGTATATCATTGCAGGCTGTAGGTATTAGTAATATTGAAATGCAACGTTTTATTGGCAAAAGACCAGTTAACTGTATAATAAAAAATGTGTACTAACATAGTGAACCTGAACTTAGGAAAAATTTATATTTGTGTCTAGATGGAAGCAGCTAATATGGAAGTAATTTTTCACAAGGGTAAGGTTAGAATATATAAACATTCCGCATTAGTAATGATTGGCGACCAAGAAAATGGCTTATACAAAATTTATATGAAAATCAGAATGTGGTAATTGTTTTTTAACTTCAGATAATGTTAAGTTGTGGCACAAAAGGTTTGGTCATTTGGGCATGGATAATTTAAATATGTTATGTAAATAGGACATGGTAAATGGTTTAAATGATTTAAAAAATGTGACTATGAAACATACATTATTTGAAACATGCATTTTAGGGAAAATGACACGTCAACCTTAATAGAACAGGAACTAGAGCAACTAGACGACTCGAACTAGTACATACGGATGTGTGTGGACCAAGCACTCCAGTCAGTAGGGAAGGCTATAAATACTTTGTAATATTTATAGTCGATTACACTCATTTTGTCATGGTATATCTATTAAAACAGAAATCAGAGGTATTCGAAAAATTTAAAGAGTTCCATCAATATTCAACCAAACATTTTAATTGTCAATAGTTAAAATTGGGTTCTGATAATGGGAGAGAATATATAACTAGGGAATTCCACGATTTTTGTAGAAAGTTTGGAATACAGATTCAGTATACAGTTCCTTATAATCCGGAGATGAATGGTGTAGCAGAAAGAATGAATCGAACATTAGTAGAGAAGACCAGGTCGGTTTTATTAGTTTAAAAATTAAATAAAGACTTTTGAGCGGATGCTGTTTTATGGTCTGCATATGTTATAAATAGAAACCCTACAGTTGGCAAAGAAGTTACTCCGAGTGAACTTTGGTATGGTACGAAACCAAATGTGTCAAATATACGTGTTTTTGGTAGTACAGCTTACAATCACGTACCAAAGAAATTAAGACAGAAACTTGATAACACTGGGAAACAGATGTTAATAATAGGATATGCAAGTACAGGCTACATACTGTACAATGAGGAGACAGGAAAAGTAGAAATAGGAAGAAATGTAATATTCGATGAAAGGGAGAAAGACGAAACTATATACTTACCAAGTAGTGACTTAACTAAGAAGGGATTACCAGAATTGGATTTATCCGGATATGAGCCATCGGAAAAGAATTTGCCCGAATATGACTTACCTGTACAGGAACAACCTAGAAAAGAAAGAGAAGAAGAGAGAAAGGGAAAATAAAATTACGGAAGAAAAGGAAAGGATAAAGAACAAGGAAAACAAAAGGAAAATTATATGAGAAAAAGTACTACAAAAGAGAAGATAAGTATGAAACAGGAAGAGTTATCAAGAACAGGAAGAAAGATTCAGAAACCAAAATGGCAAAAGGATTATGATGTGGACATGGACACAGATGAAGAAAATGATGTGTTATATAGTTTACTTACATGGGGAGAAAATGTGCCTGAAACATATGAAGAGATTTTAGAAAGAAAAAATAAGAATAGTTGGCTAAAAGCAATTGCAGAGGAGATTGATGTATTGAAGGAGAGCGAAACATGGATAGAAGTACCAAAACAAGAAAATGTAAAACTACTGCACAGCAAATGGGTATTTACAAAGAAAGGTACCGCAAAAAGAGAAATATATCACGCACGATTAGTAGTACGTGCGTGGATTTCAACAAAGGGATTTAATAGAATATGTTTATTCACCGGTTTTAAAGTTACAAACTTTAAGAATATTACAGCTCAAGAAAATTACGACATTCATCAAGTGGACCTGAAGACCGGAGCATTTCTGTATGGTCGAATAGATGAAGATGTTTATTTGAAACCCCCAAAAGGAGTGAAAGTAAAAGATGGATATGTTCTTAAACTAAAGAAGTCACTGTATAGCTTAAAGTAAAAAAAATCACCAAAATATTGGAATGAACACTTTAATGAAACTATGACTAAATACGGTTTCAAAAGATCACTTAATAACTATTGTTTATATTCAAAGGGTAAAACATATATACTATTCGTAGATGATTTATTATTTTTTGGAAAACACGTAAAACAGATAAATTCTATAAAAACTTATTTGTCAGGAAAATACAGAATGAAAGATATGACTAGTGAAAGGTTAAATTACTTGGGAATTTCAATTACAAAGAAAGATGGGGAAATTTATATCAATCAAAGTACTTATTTGCAGAGTGTATTAGATAAATGGGGAATGTCTGACTGTGAGGGGTGTTCAACCCCTATGGATGTAAATTTCAAAATGGATGATAATTGTGAAGTTGATATGAGCTATGAACATAAATGTAGGTCTTTAATTGGTTCATTAATGTACGCCACGATAGTGTCGAGGCCTGATCTCGCTATACCTATATATTTCTTAAGTAGATTTCAAAATAAACCAAATAAAATTTTGTGGCGAGCACTGAAACGAGTATTGCGGTTGTAAAAGAAACTATTGATTATACTTTAATTTGTTACATCCTAAATGTAACAGTTTGATAGGATATGCAGATGCGGACTTTGCAAGAGATAATGACAGAAGGTCAACATCAGCATATTTATTCAAATGATTGAATAACGCTATTATCTGGAAATCAAAGAAACAACATTGTGTTTCAGTCAGTACCACTGAGGCTGAATTTATTTCATTGTGTGAAGCAGTAGCTCTGTTTGTTGAGTATGAAAATTGTTATTAGATTTAGATCTAGATATTGGTTGTGTAACTATGTATGAAGATAATCAGAGCACTATAAAAGCTGTACCTAACTATGACAAGGGAAGATTAAAACACATAGATATTAAATATCACTTCATAAGAGAGAAAGTAGAACAAAATTTAGTACATGTAGTATACATAAACACTCAAAACCAATTAGCAGATATGTTAACAAAACCTTTAAATAGCAATAAGTTACATTTGTTTAATAATAATATTGAATTGTTGGAATTAAAATGTTAGTCCCTATACCTAGTATGAAAAGTAAAATAAAATAAAAGGTAAGGTTATATTAGTTATTATAGCAATTAAGCTATAGGTGAGAATTATATATTATATAATTAATAATTGTTTTTAGAGTAAAAGTAATAAAATTAAATTTGTAAAATTTCTTGAGACCTAAATTGTAAAATTGAAGGAGAGTTTGAGAGTAGCAATTGTACAATTAGGTAGCAACATTAGTAGAAATAAAAAAAGGTAAGTTTGTTTTTGATGTGGTATCATTCTGTTCCTGTCCTGTGAGTAAAGTGAAATAAAGAAGTGTGATTAATTTTAAATTTGTGTTTTATCGTGGGGAAAGACATCAAAATAAATAACAGATTACTTTAAAAAAAGTAAAATGTTAAAGAGGTCGTAACTCCTAACCATCTCATTTAAAAGTCAATCTGAGGTTCAGACTGAAATGTCAAAAGCTCTGCGAATCCAAAACACAAAACGATATTGAATTTTAAATTTACAATTTTGGGAAGCGAAATTTGAGGAACAACGTATTCTTAGCGAATAGTATAATTCAAATTCAAGTATATGCTATAGTTGAATAATAAACTTACCATCCTGAAGCGTAGTGCAATGTATAGGATGCGCGGGCACACCGTCCCCTGCATCCGTATAAGCTAAAGCTTGTACAGTATAGTTGGTATGTGGTTTAAGAGCCAGCAGCAATGTCTCTACTCCAGCTACCCGCTTGACCTCAGCTCCCGCTCCTGCATTGGTCCCCCCACCACCCCGCACCTCCCATTCCAGCCAATCTGCCGCTGCCGACAGACAACTGCCATCACTCAGCTTGGAGTTAAAACGCGATATGAATTCTTTCTTGACATACATGCTTTCATTTTTCTGAATTTAAGTTAGAGCAACTTATGATTTAAGCAACAAAAACACTAAGTAGTTACTTATGAAATTTATTACACATTTCAAAATGTCAAGAATGAATACAGATATGTAAACACATCTGTGCCTATATCTACAGGCTTAAATTACTACGATTTACTCACTATGTTCCGGACGATACAAAAGTTTATAGCCTAGAAGAGCACCATGATGGGCATGAGCTGGAGGCGGCGACCATTCAACTTTTAGACTTTGAGGAGATACTGCTCTGCAACGAACTCCTCTTGGGCCTTCAGACGGCACTAATAATAATTTAACAAATACAATTATAGAAATTCTTTTTTTTGTTAGAACTCGGGTCTTGGCATGATTAAACTTACCACTTTCCTGAGTCAATGTGTTGATCGGGGCCGATGCAGGTCCAGCGCCAGCACTATTGAATGCTCTTACACTCACTGAATACCTAATAAATAATTTGTCAGGTGCATAAAAACAATATGGTTCTCAACAATAAACATGATTAAGTCGATATCTTCTGTTACCTGGTATAGTGTTCTAACTCTTCAATAGTATATTTATTGATTTGACCGCGAACGGTAGCAAACTCCATACCAACATTTGCTCCTCCTGCCAAAGATCCCTCCGCAGAAGGCCACCACCACACAGTATAACCTAACAGTTCACCATTCCATGTTGATGCTGGAGGCGGCTGAACATGGAGAAATTATATTAGTTTGTACTAAATTAAAACAATCCAGCCTCTCCCAAGTAAGTATACGCTATATTTTGATAAGCAACGTACCTGCCATGCCAATTCAATAGTAGAAGGTCTCGGTGCTGATGCACGAAGACTTAAAGGTGCCCTTGATGGGGGTTCATGCAAAGTCAATGCCAACAAAGCCCTAGTATGAGGCGATGCAAACTGTGCTGTAATTGTTCGCGCTCTCACTAAATAAGCCGTTGCTGGTTCTAGACCCGATATCGTTGCTCCTTCAGTCCTATAAAACACAATCATAATGAAGTGAATCTTAGAGACAGATATTTTCGTCTACACTACTAATTAGGTCAATGTTTAAAAACAGTTTTACTTACTCATATGAATCCAATGGGTGTGCAGACACAGATACGTTATGAGTCTCAGCGTCACGCCAAGAATCTGGATTATTTGAGTCATGTCGACGATATTGCACTACATAACCCAGCACTGGCGAGTTACCGTCATATGGCCGTCGCCACTGTAGGCGGACTGATCGAGATGTTGTTTCTAATACTCGAAAATTTGCTGGAGGCTCGGGTGGTTCTAATAAAAACGACGAAATTAAGAACCCCAAAAATAAACAGACTTTACGAGTTAGTTAACAAATAAGTATAGATAAGACAGTCTTTGTACCTTGTACACCCAAATGAACAAAATGATCAGAACGTCCATAGGGATTTGATGCTTGGCACTTATAAACTCCAGAATCTCTTCTCTCTGCTCTTTCTAAAACTAGTTCGCTCCTCAAACCTTCTGCACTTCTTGTCTCTGATATGCTCATTCTGGAAAATGTAACCCATGTCAAACAGCATTATAAAAGACATAACAATTTAATTGTCAAATGTGTACTCACCGATAATCAGAATTTGGTAACACTCTACCCTGATGACTCCAAGTCGTAGAAAGCGGAGTATCACCTCTTGCTACGCAAACGAGCTTTATAGTTTCCCCTAATTTTGCAGTCTTGTTCGTTGACGGTGTTTCAAATCTGGCAGGTTCTGTTGAAAAATGAAATACTTTCATCCACAACTCCTTCTATATCAAAAATACTCGTTGTTACATTGTTCTCTATCTGCTTACCATTCACATGGATAGTTAAAGTCTTCGATAAAGCGGGTGCAACGCCGTTATCAGCCCTACAACGATACTTTCCAGAATGTTCTGTTCTGGCACTTTCTAATCTCAGAGATCCATTATTTAGCACCACTGGATCGGACATACTTCCTAATGTTGTTTCTGTTGAACCTTCAAAAGAAACCATATACGTTTCTATTATTCGACAAGATATAGAAACTTTGAGTTTTCTGAAATTATTTTTTTAAACTTCATACTTACCTTGAGACAAAAAATATCAATTATAGCAATTTACCTGAATATTTGGTCCAATAGATTGTAGGAGGAGGATGTCCACGAGCTGCACAGGTTACAGTAAGAGATCCATTTAGTAACACAGCAGTATCCGTTGGCTCTACTTGCCAAAAAGGAGGAACTGAAAATTTCCACAATATTAAAAAAATGTTTAGCCGAGACTGCTAATACATGTAGTCATAACGTTCTCTCCCACCTTTAATGGCTAATTCAGCAGACGTGTTGGCTTTGCCAGCAGTGTTTGACACTACACAAGTGTAGATCCCACTATGACCTGCAGTTAAACTCTTAAAGAGCAGCATACTGTAAAATTCAGCTGTTCGTTCATCCACCTGTAAATTTAATACATTTATTTTATCAAATCCTACAGCTAACCTATTGAGTAGCAAAGAATTCGAAAGACACTCGACATAAATTCAATAAAGATAGACTCGACTTACCTGAAGAGCACTTGAAATAGGCATCTGATCCTTAAGCCATGAGAAATATACTGGCATGTCACCAGAAGTAACAGTGCATGTTATTTGAGCGCGGTCCCCAGATCTCAATCCTGGTGGGAAGACTATGGGAGATAAGACTGGTGGTGACACTACTGACACTTGAACCTGAAAACGTATGAAATGCTTGACTGTAAACTGATTTAAGGTTGTCATTTGCAAATTTTTCGAATATTACCTCTCTTCTTGCCAGTTCTCCTCCAGGTGTTAGAACAGAACATGTCCAAACACCTTTGTCCCTGTTCTTATCGACATTGGTGATGGTCAGTTGGCCATCTGACTGGTGATAACGAGGATCTGCGCCGGCACCACCTTCCCATTTTACAGATCTACATAAAAATATATAACAGTAATCATAATCAGCTACTTCAATATAGTAGTCTACCTAATTGGCTTTTTTTTTCAGAAATTCAAATTAAAAACATATGAGGCATACTTTAAGGTGATGTATTTGAACGCGACTAGATTTTATAAGGTGAGGAGTGGGTGGCCCATCGCGTCCCGCAATCTGCGCGCTTAGAAATAATGAAATAAGAACAATTGGAGAAAATTTGACACAGAATCGACGTTAGCAAGCGCCCGATGGCAACTGACGGGGCAGCGGGCGGTGCGGCGTGTCGTTAAGCCGCTGGGTAATTTTCAGGTTTTGGGATAAATGTGAATTTCATAACTAAGGCTTTAGTATAGTTAACCGAAATTTAGCAGGTTCTCTATAGTACTTAAAGAAATATTTCTCCATATAAAAATTATGTACATTTGTAATTTTGTTTTGCTTGACTTCGTTGTATTTAGAAAAGCAGCAGTTATACTACTTTATTTTATATTAATTATTGTTGTTTGCGTTAGTGACAATCATTATTATCCCTTGACATTGTATTTTTAATTGTAATATTGTGATATTGATAATATGAAATAAATTAATCTATTCTATTCTATAAAGTTAGATATTTATTGTTAAATAATTTTTGAACTTTTATTTTAGCTTGTTTTCGGAATTTTATACTAACGAGTAAAGTACATTCTATCGTGTAACGAATTAGTACATTCTTTAGTCAATATTCTTAGGTATATCGTATATTTTTTAAAGACCGTTATTATATAGTAAATACCTAAACCATTTGATCTAACAAAACAGTTCTGCCCCGACTTTCGTCCGTTGACTTGCTCTAAGGCCTAAGGCAAGGTAATAAATAAATTCTGTGTCGGAAAAAGATGGAAAAGGGACTGCTGCATGCAATGAGTTGAATTGGTGGAATTAGATAATGGGTCCATTTGTACAGTTTGCTTAACAATGACCTAAATTGACAAGCATGTACGGAGTTGTACAAATGAACGAATCAAATGTAATTTTTTGTTAACTTACTCTATAGGGAATCCATAGTACGGACACCAGATAGTTACTTCAGAACCTGCGACGGCCTTCACTGGATTTATAGATCTGATGTATGGAGGACCTGTATAAAACAATTGTATTACAATTTCAATTTTCAAACTAAGAGAAAATTTTGTATAGATGTAGTCCATTCTGGCTTGGTACGTCTTTCTAATGTGTGTTTGTAATTATCAGTGATCGGGATAGGTAGACAGAAAGTGGAGACAACTATTTATGTCCCGGATTTTTTCGAAATTCGAGAAATCACTTCAGTACATTAAAAAAATCTCTAATCTAAACTTTGTGACGAGTTGTTGCAACCACCAATTTTTCGGAATATTTTGGAAATATTTTACATTAAATAGTTATTAATACAACGATCGAACACCCGTATTGTCGTTAGTTGATACAGCGTCTGGTACGGTATGCTAGAAGACGTCGGTTCGAATCCGGCCGAATTGAAGGAATTTTTTTGTGAGTGTTCGATCTTTGTATTAATAATTATAACAAACTAGTGGAGTAATTTAAATTAAAAAAGTAATTGAATATCAATGCAATAAAAATTGTAACACATGTTTATAATTATTAAGATATGTATTTCAAACGTACTGTAGATTTATGGACTTTTCTCCGGGATCCTAAAACTATCACATCGACTCTTCGTGTAGTTCTAAGTATACGTTTTTACTTTGTGATTCGACCTTCACAGCATAATTACACAGAATAATATACTCTACCTATTTCGATCACTGGTAATTTTATAAACATTGTTATAAAATAGAATAAAACCACGAATATTACAATATTGTAATTTAAAGTTTAATGTTAAGGAATAAGAACTATTGTCACTAATCACTAACTTAAACACCAAGAGAGAAGACAGTTGTTGCTTTCTAATAGTGAGTTATTCCAAATCTTGCGTTGCAGCGTTTTCCGTATACCTACTGTCGTAAATATCCTTCACCACGTTGTATTTTTGTTTGTACCTCGAACCCTTTCTATTTGACCTCATTTCATTTTGTAAGTGTTTAAGTTGTACTCCTGCTCCCACTTCTCAATTTTATTTCTAAATCCATTTTGTCCATAGTTCGTCGTTTGTCCGAAGTTGAACCTTGATTTCACGTTCCCAACGTCCTTTGTAGGAGTGGTAGATCCCGCCGGAGGCCTGGAACCCAGGGGTTGCTCTGCTTTTCCTTTCAGCATGTCTTGTAAGACTTTAGTTTTGGTGTAAATATTATCCTTAAAATATTGGATGTCAAGTTCTCCGGTCTTTCAATAACTTTGTGGGTGCGCAAAAACAATTCCCACAGTCTGAAGAGCCGTGCGCCGTGCGAGACGTTCTTCTCGGTAGATCAAAGTATTCCTGCAAAGCTACCTTCCGCGTAGTTATTACATAACGTCTTCAACGCATCGAAGTTATTTTCTTGTCCAGCAATTAGATCCTTGACGCTCAGAACCATCGTTGTAGTAAATAACTAGATAATAGTAGATACGTAGTAATTTAAAATTTAATATAATTCGTAGAGCAAGTAGTAGCTAGACGTTAACTGTCAGCAGGCACAGTGAGATGTACCACTGTGGCACTACTTCAATAGAATCATGAAGTTTCCGTAATTTCCTAGTTCTCAGTGCAGTTGCACTTAATAATGCTATATGCGCCTTCTCTACACGATTGGTGGGACCCGCTTGTCCAGTCGTACCGATTCACCAACGTCACTAGCACAAAACACTTAAAAATATTCGTTGTTCGAAGGACCAAACGTTTGGGTTTCTGAAAATCTAAGGTTGAAGTAGTAGTTTAGTAAAGTGGGATGTTGAGTTCACGCAAACTACAATTTCCGTAATAAATTAATGTATTAACTTAAAAGTGTACAATATCGATTAGGATTTTTAATTAAAAAAAGTTATGAGCGTGCAATAAAGCGAACGTACAATAAACAGGTTGTTAAGTTAACAAAAATATAGTACGGTGCAAAAACCGTACAATAATAATAATAATAATGTACACTCTCAACATAGCCCTGCATTAGGGAAACCCTGTGTCGCGGGTGCCATGGACATCACAAATTACACCCAAACTCACGAGAGAAATAAATGTAGGACATACAAATATTTCCTCCCGGCCCGGCAATCGAGACAGGGACCTCTGCGTGGCAGTCCGTCATGGTAACTGTTCGACCACAGAGGCAGTTTTAAATAAAACATAAAATGCAATACTTTCGATAAAATGCTTTTTCCGTTGCATCTGTCTACATCCGTCGAAGTACTGTCATTAGCGAAATGAAAGAAGATTCTCAGAACTATAAGTATCGAAGACCTCATAAACGAAGAGTAGCCGTCATCTATAGCAAGGGAACAGTGACAATGGCAAAAGAAACTTGAATAACAATATACGTGCAGAGCTGATAGTAGAAATTTTACGATAACTGCCGACAATATCAACAGCTCGTAATGCAGGAAAAACGGAGTCACCGCTAAAAAATAAGCACACTTTACGACGTTCATATTTAATGAAGTGTTAATTTCGTATAGTACCAACCTTAACTCTTTGTTAATAATTAATTACTTAACTGATTTCTCGGGTTGCTCGTAATGGGTAATTAGGGAGAACGTATTTATGTTTTTGCAAATGGACTCGTAAAACCCTGGCTATTTTTCTTTTGTTGCGTAAACGTAGTGAATTTCCGTATCTTGCATACTGCAAATTGTATATTTAATACGTGCGTACTGAATACGTCTATTTTTTTCCTACGTTTCTTGACGTTTATCCCACTGTCTGGTCATGTAACTCCACCCCATAAGCAATAGTTTATATGCCTCGTTTGTCTGTCTATAAACAAATATATAGTAAAACTAGAGCGGGGTTGAGCGAATTTTTTTCATTACGGGCTAGAGAAACGTAATAAATTACACAATACCACCCACAATTTCAAAAAAATATTTACTTTTGAAATATTTTTAATCATTCTTTTTGTGTAATTTTATTTTATTTTCTGTTTGTGTAAGTTATTTTGTGTGTCGATATTGACGAGGCTGTCAAGATATATTTCCGAGAACCATATACTCCTACTTTAGAAGGGACCCTGGCAGCCCCATTTAAAATCTTTCGCAGGCCGTACTTTGCCCAACACTAGAGCCTAAGTATATAAAGCTTACCATAGATATTGAGTCTCGCAGCATGGGCGACGGAGCCGTGTGCATTCGTAGCTCGGCACTCATAACGGCCTCCATGTTCGACTCTTGCACCGTTGAGAGATAGAGTCGATAATATATAATTATTGCTTGTTCCCATACCTGTGGGACTACTTTCTCGGCCTTCCGTTATCATGGCCCTGTGGGAATTAATTCATTAGTCACTTCATTCGTGTCTGGAAGTAGCTTAATTAGTTAGTAGTTATTGCTTAGGTACAGAAGAAATAAACAGCGAACATTTATGTGTAAAGTAAGCGAAAATGTTAACTATAATATAGCAAAATTCGACACAGAATGTTTAATAACAAAACGTTGCTAGGCAACCAATAATAACAGGTGTGAAAAACATTTTCACTAATGTAGTGTGATGTAATGCTCTTTATTTAGGTTAGTTCTGTCCAAGGCTTGCTTGCGTTATTGGAATTTAAATAGGTAAATATTGGGTTATACAGAAGTAATACTTTCCTGACCAATTATTAAAAAGTTTGCAAAGTAGTAAATATTTAGAAATAATGTAATTGAATTTTTGATACCCCTCAAAATTTATTGTAGGTAATATGAAAAGAAAAAATATATATTTTATATTAATTTACCGCATATGTTATCCAGAACCAATTTCCCCGTTTCAGAACTTGAATTACTACTCGACCTCAAATGTTTGCAATATGTCACTTCAAATTAAAAAAAACCATTAGGGAAGGCATAGTTTTATAAATAATTCATTACTGACATTTTTTATGGTGGTCTCAAATCAGTTACAGTGATATGAAACTACTATTAAACAAAATTAAACACAGGCAGGACGTCAGGATTAATATTACCTTTTTTATTCCGTGGTATTACCAATAGCCTAATCGAATTTCGGGGAAAATTTTTGAAAATGTGGTAACTGTAAAACAGTCGAAGGTGATAATTCTAAAAATGATATTATTTTGTTTGGTGACATTTATTCCTACATGGAATTTCCTTAGAGTATAGTTTAAAAAATTAAAATTATAAATGAATTTCCTCAAAGCCCACAACATTTCCCTATTAAGTAATCTTCCTATTAAGTAACATTACGTTGCTACGCCATTTTCAACCGCAGACTTTTGCAATTCTAGGCACCATACTTAGCGTTGTTTCCGAGAGAGCAATTTCTAAAGCAACATAGCTTCTGCCCCGCAAGATCTTATTAAGCACAATTTAACAGATGGAACGTATAAATAACATGTTGCGGACTGCGTTCTCTCGTATTTTAGGGAACCAATTTAGATAAGCACTCTCACTGCAACTGTAGACTTAGAAACACACAGATATGACCATTTACGTTAAAATCCTGACTAGGTTTTTAATAATTACATTTAACGGTGAAAAATGGGAATCGTAAAAATACTATAAGGTCTTATGCATAAATGATACAATTCACTGTCAACTTAAATTCGTACACTTTTGCGTTTCTGAGTGGAGGATTTAATTATTTCCGCATAATTACGGCTAAGTAAGGGTTAAATTAAAAAAAAGATAAATTTTTTACGTTCTGGTCCCTGATCCATTTTGGGTATACAAGCAGCAATGTAAATGGTTTTCTTTATTTAAATACAATTTCACAAATAAAGAAAACATCATATAACGTGTTTTTTGTTTCTTAATTATCAATATCATTTTCTAATAAGTTCTAACATTAAAAAAAACTGAAAAAGAAACATTTCCCTGGAAAAACTTTGCTATTGTGGTCAGAACAACGAAAAGTTGAAATTTGCGTACCATACAAAAAAGTACGAATTATTGGGTATCTCTTTATTTAAAAAAGGGAACAGTATAGGTATTAAAATCTATAATATTTTAAGTTTATTTGACGTATTTGACCACCATGATATTCAATATTTTTTGTGAAAGTACAATATGTTATGATTATTAATAAAAAGATCGAACACTAAGAAAAAATTCCTTCGATCCTGCTGGGGTTTAACCAACGTCTTCCAGCAAACCGTGCCAGACTCTATGCGTGGCTTAGTCAGTGTTCGATCTTTGTATTAATAATTATAACAAATTTTAATATATAAGTAGTATATTTCAACCAAAATTCGACAAATCGATGAGAAGAACCTAGAAATGTGAAGATTTAGTGGATTACGTAAATGTCAATCAATACCAATCAATACCATTATGACTGACACAACAGCAAAGGTTTCTACATATTTGCTGCTCCAGAAACCAATACTCTCAAACCAGAAACAGAACTTTATTGAAAATTATAGATATTTAAAACTCTGGCTACGACGTTCTACACTCAAGAAAATGGAATAGAAAAGGGGCTTTGTGCCACAGGAACAGAAGCCGTAAATCAAAGACAATTTATTGTAATGAATACCATACCAACTCCTTCATCTCTGTACTATTTAAATTATATCTTATTTACGAAAAATTTAACAAAAAGACTTACTCATGGTGAGAAGCAATGCTCTGTCCGTCCAGTGTCCATCTAAATCGAGGGGGCGGTTCTCCAACTGCCGAACATTTCAATGATACCTGTGCTCCTGGTTGTACAGCCTGCTCTATGAAAGTATACACCAGCTCCGGGCGCGAATCTACACAAAAAATATTTAATGAAAAATGTGTCATTAACAATATAAAATATTGTAGTAGCAGTTAGAACTCCTTGTCAAGAGTTCGCCTAGGGAAGCACTACCATACCCAGCAGTCTTACCCTTCAAATAGATTTCTATATTTGTAAGTTTTAGTTTAAGTGTATATTTCTTACCCTTGTAAGAGTGCTGGTGAAATTATAGGCACATGGAATTTGTCAACTTTCAGATCCGCCCCTCAGATCTTTGCGATTAAAGCTTTGAGTGGGGCTACACGCCTGTCCATAACAGTTGCAGTACCATTCAGAGCTTTAAATCGCAAAGATCTGAGGGGTACTGCCACTGCGCCCATCACCCTGAGACATAAGTTGACGAGTGCTATGTGCCTGTAATTTCACCTTTACCCTTATCCTTCAAAACCGGGACGAAGTAATGCTAACGTTACTGCTTGGCGGCAGAGATAGGTAAGGTGACAGTACTTCCCTGGACGAAATCTTTCACAAGGAGTTCTACTGCTACTAAAAATCTGCCTTATCGTCGTCTAAATTCATAAACATCGTATCTTCATTAACGTGAACTTTTGAGTATAGACACAAAAAACATAATTACTAGAAATAATTTCATATGACAATCTATGATTATACTAATATACTTTTTTGTATTAATCATATGTTTTGGTCTAGAAGTTATATTTTAAGTTTTAATTGCCCGATATTGCGCTTGAAGGGTAAAAAGAGTATTTTATCCAAGAATGCTGTTTTATGAGGATTTCAAATTTAGCCGAGTGACGATGTGACGATGATGAATATGCAATCTATTAAAATAGAAATTGAATTTAACTATAGTGTGTGTAAAGACAGACCGTGCTAATATTTATTTCCAATGCTTTATTATTTTTTTATTATTATTTAACTAAGCTAAGCTAAGCTAAGCTTTATTATTATTTAACTTTGTAGGTACATGATAGGCAATAATTTCTATGCAAGTATTCTTTTTAATTAATTTCAAAGCGTAAATTCTTCTTGGGTTAACTCTTTGTACGACATAGGGATAGATTGACGACTTCAGTGAGACCTAACGGTTTGACCTATGGACGCTTGATGAGGAGGTTTCAATTCCAGGTAGGACTTATTTGGAAAATTCTCGTTTCAAAGTTGGTTCTACGCTGAGTGTTCAGGACAGTGCCCTGGAGTGACTTCCATTGCTCTGGTATTCATAGTACAGGAAATTTCCAAATTTGAGACCAGTTTATTGGGTGTGGTAGTCTGGCATTTTCATCATCAAGTCAAATAACTTAATGAATACGTCCCACTGCTGGGCACGGATCTCCTCTTAGGCGAGGGTTTAGGCCATAGTCCCGCTGTGGCCGTAGCATTGCGCCAGCGTGAAACTCAGAGGTAGGAGCCCGAATGCGAACCCACGGCATTGGCCCTGAAACCATTAGGCTGCCACGGCTTTTTTTTCTCTGGCACTTTACTATTACTTATATTAAATTTCTATAATGACTGCAAGAAACTCCAGAAACCAATACTCTCAAACCAGAAACAGAACTTTATTGAAAATGATAGATATTTAAAACCCGCAATAAGGAACATTTACATGTGTATCTTCACGTTCAAACAACAGAAATATAGGGGAAGAAATAATAAACTCACCTGAGGTGCGCTTTACACGTTTGCGTTTGAACAAATGGACAACGCTTGTTTCCTCCGCTAGTAAGGGTAAAATTACTGGAAATAAAAAATACAACCGCTTATTATTATGTATTTAACCGCACATGCACGAGTACTGGACTAAAAATAGAGCTACGAGAGACATAAAAGTATCCTTCAGAGAGAAAAGCATCAAAGCATTGGCATAGATCTTTTTATTGTACACTTTTTGTCTACGGGGTTGGAGTTCACGAAAGGAGCCTCCCCGAACGACGTACCATTCCTTTCCTGTACAACTGGCATACCTTGGGCAACAATTATTATTATTTAGTAGCAGTAGAGCTCATTGTGAAAGAGTTCGTCCAGGGAAGTACTGCCACCACCTGTTTCTGCCGCCAAGCATTAATGTTAGCATTACTGCTTTCTGGTTTTTAAAGGGTGCTGGTGAAATTATTGAGACTTGGGACTTGTCAACTTATGTCTCATCGTGACAGGCGCAGTGGCAGTTCCCTTTAGATCTTTGCAATTTAAAGCTACGAGTGGCATTGCAACTGTAATGGACAGACCTGTAGCTTATCACCAGGCGCACCACTGTTCGTCCCATCACTTGATAACATAAAAAAAGCAAAATCGGCGAGTACCTTACGCAGATGGGCAAATCTTTCACCACGATGGCGTGCATTATAGTGCTTTATAGTACGACAAGAAGAGGTATGTCTACAGGTTTATATTTTCTTATTACATCCCTTTTTCTCGCAATTCTATGATATTTACTTACAAAGTCAAAATGAAATGATCTTTATTTCATAGGTAAGCAAATTATACTTGAAATCGTCATAGTGATATTAAACTACTTTTCATTCGTAAGGCAGATTTCCATGAGAAATGAACAAGAAAGTCTAGGGGTTGCTCTTCATTAATACATGACGAGCAACCCCATTCATTATTCACAAGAGCGCTGCCTCATTCATGATGCGTGTGCGCGGCAGCGCTAATCCTAGCCGTTGTTGCTAACAGGCTGGACTGCCCCAACCAACAACATTGGGCGCAACTACACGTGCGTAGGGGTCTAGTCGTAGCATTCAATAATAGCAACTCTAGCATTAACTGATTTTGTATTGTACTATAGCACGTAAGAAAAATTTACTTTATTACTAACATTACTATGGATCATCGTTTGAAATAAATAATTCTATTCTATAAACATTTGCACACATTTATCATTTACAATATTTATTTCAAATACCATATACATAAAGATCGAAACAACCTGCAAAAGCAAAGCAGAAGCTGAATTAGTATACAGTTTTTGTTTCATTTAACCTCGTGAATGGCACATTTTGAATATCATTCGTAATCTTATTACAGAAGCGTATACATTGCTTCTTAAAACGATTTTTGATTTTCTGTCAAGAACAGCCAGTTTATTTTTATTCCTTGTATTAATATTATGTCTGACACTATTTTCATCTATCATTTATCTATCATATGTAGGTTTATAGATATTAATGGCTCTGCTAAAAATTGTAACCATCATTCTTATTTCCTACAGAACCCGGAAAGATATTTCCGGGTTCCTTCTTTCATGACCACGCCATAAAAATTATACAGCCACCGAGCCATAGCGAATTCGACCTCTATTCACATACGTGTCAGTAGATGGGTTCTGTTGAAAAATTCACTCGGTACCACGCTTTACTATCCGCATTCGTTCAGAGTTTATATCACCATAAATCGTAAAACCGGGCAAAAAATTTATAACCAGCCGATCCCTGAATTCGGAAGATAAGCCCATGCTCGATAGCTTCAGCTTATCTCAGCCATAAACATCGAAATATTACCTTTATACTGATACGTGTATAGAAATTTTATCATCAATAAACCGTACCTGTGGAGACTGTAAATTAAGCCCTTCCATTTTTCTCACAGTAGCCAAAGTTTTACTCGTATACGAATAAAATGTCGCACCCATTTCAATGTCGTTCGTTTACTATAAAACGAGAAGAGTCGTCTAAATAATGTATACATTTCATACCATATCTACTGGAAGAGAAGTACAACGTCGTTTACCAGGTAAAAATAAAACACTATATAATTATACATATGTTTTATAGACGGGTTCTCATAGATGACTTGTTATAATAAATTTTATACCATACTGCGAGAAATGCAATATCGCTTACCATGTATGAAAAGAAACTTGTACCCTATATACACATACAACAATTTTTCTTTTATTTTTAATTATGCGTTCAATTGGCTACAGATGTGTGTTGAATCCTTTCTACAACAATCACGACAATATCGTGATTGTTGTAGAAAGGATGCGCACGGAACTATACTGGTCTCTATGTTATGGAACTTTTTTTTTTATAAAAGTGCCCTATCTGTAAAAAGGTTCTCATACTGTTTTTGTTTGCAGATTTGTTTTAACAAATTAGTTGTAAGAACTACAAAAACTACTGTCAACACGCGAGATCGATTTACTTACTAGGTAGATTACGTTAATCTCACAAACAATTCGTCGACGAAATAGAAGTTCACAGAAGGAGCATTGGGGCATGAAAAAACCAACTAGTCGACCCCTATTTCCCCCCACAAAGATGGAAGCCAAGGGGAAATATCCGAGGAACTATTCCAATTTAGAAAGTTTCCTTTTGGTGAAGCAACCGCCCTTGGTTACCCGAAATGTAGTCGAAAAATTGACGTGGATTCATCAAATCCAACACAGCAGTGATGATAATTGTAAGGATCGATAGCGCAGACAAAGTGTGCATTGGAAAATCAAATATTATAAGTACAGCGCTTCTATTTTCTCAATGTCTCTCGATAATCATCAGATTTCCGAATGCACATGAATATTAATTTCCATGCCCATTAATTATTACATTAAAATCTATAGTAATTTGAATTGAATGAAATTTTGAACAGCGTACTTTATTGTTGTTTTGTTTTGATTTCAAAATGAGCTATATAGAGCTGTAAAACTATTTTTAATAACATTTAATTCGTGTCAATAAGTAATTTGACAAAAATATAAAGTAAATAAAGTGTGCTACTTTTGTATAAATGAAAATGAATATTATTCCGGTTATTAATTATTTCAATTCAGTCCGTATCTGAACGCATTACTTCATCTTACATATGTTAGTATGTTCACCAGTG